TTCTTATAGTTATCCTGAAGATTGAACCTAGAAGGATCTGAATATTCGGTTGCAGCCATAAAAATACGGTAATATCAGAAAATAAACGAAGTTTTTTTTATTGTTAATACTTATTAGTTTATTCATTTCTCAATATTTTAGAATTTGTGGCTAATATAACTATTCGTACTGATGAATAAAATGTACAGTCGTTACAGTCTGCTTGGATTTTAGATTAGCTTTCAGGTCAGTTTTTTCCATATAAAATGAAGAAACGCTTCATAATACAAAAGACAAATTTTGTACCAGATAAATTTTACGAACAACATGATATGTTAAAACATTAGAATTACCTAAAAAAAATTTTTAGCATAATTCTTCTCTGTATTTTCGAAGCAAAAATAATTTAAAAAAGTTGTAAGTATTTGATCTTATTGAAATCATTGTTATAATAAAAATAAAACTAAACTTTAATTAAAATGAATTTTGTTTACACATGAATAGTTGACATGGATTTACTGCATTCGTTTAAAATGAAGGAAGAACAGATAATTTTGGCTGAAAGATTCAAACGAAAAGATACAAGTACAAGAGAGTATGAAGAATTTAAATCGATAGATGCTTATGAAAAGGAGCCAATTAATAAAGAAAACGATGACGAACATCAATCGATTGAGAATGAATCTTTTAATAAGCAACCAACTTGTCATAACTGTATCAAGTACGAAAAAGGTGACAAAATTTGAAAATTATTCAATATTTATTTTTTTTTCCTTACCAACAAAAAATAAATTTTTATTATTTAAATAGTGTTGGATAATGCTGTGACGTCGCTTGAAAATGTTCTGCAAAACTTGAAAAAGTTTCAAAACAGAGAATCAAGTACAAAAACTGTGAGTATTCTAAAAATATTATTGAATGGTTTTATAATTAAGGAAGATAAAACTTAACTTTTTTATTTAGAAGGAAAACATTAAAGTTTGTGCAGCATATGAAAGAACAAGTGGATGTATAGAGATTGAAAAAAATACTGGAATATTTATTGATGCAGTAAATTTTGCCGATGCCAACAGATTCTACGATAGACCGTCTGAAATGATAAGAAGATTAATGTTAGCATTGGTTGGCGAGTTTAATTTACGTGAGATGGTTGCAGTTGGAAAAAAAATCGCAAAGGAGTTACAGATGACATCAAAGCAACCGTTTATAGTAAATACTTATTACTCACCTCTTTTTTTTTTTGAGAAAATTGAAAATAACAAAATTCAAATAAAATCTATATTATAGAATACGTTAAGAAAAAATAATCGAAAGTAGTTGAATATGATTTTTTTCAAGATTGCATTAAAAGTCAATGTTCTACTTTGAGAAATCCCAAGAAAAAAAACTCACGACTGTAGAGAATTTGAATGTTTCTGAAAGAAGTAACAATGATAATGAGGTTATACAAAATAAACACCGACGAGTACGACAACTAAAAGACAAGTCAAGCTTGCCAAAGCGATCAAGAAATTATAGCCATGACTCCATTGATCTGCAGTCGCTTAGTTGCATTAAAAATATGCGCAAACAAAGAGCACAAAATCATTATTCAAGCCAGTCTAGAAGTAATAGTCGCGAACGAAAAACTAAAAAAAGAGACCCACGTTGCTGTTCTAATTCATCATTACGTAGTAGCAGCATTGAAAGTACTCGTTATGGACGTAGACATCATTNCATAAGCACGTGTGAGTGCGAGTGAGAAGCAAGAACATATTACTCTTACTCGCACTCACAAAGGCACATGGGCTGGTCCTGGATGTTCAAGACTCCATGTATACGCAGCCTAAGACTGTAAGACGCCCATGTACAGGCACCTTAACTCTTAACACAGGCAAATAGGGAATAAGGATACTAGAATACAGCATGCTAGTGGCCAAGGGTCTTTACACGCAAATGCGAAAAGAGCACAGTAAGGCCGCGGTTACATGGCTGCAGAAGTAGCCAACGGAACGCCACTGCATCAAAAAAAAAAAAAAGTTTCCCCCATTTTGGCGGCAAACGTTCAGTGCTATGCATTTGATGTAAATTATTAGTGCTTACCTATGATACTTTACTATAGAATTATGACTATCACAGCTATGATCATACTCAGACATCTGAAAATCTTAATAATAATCAAAGAAGAGAGTTATATTATTATTCGAAATTATACGCCCCGTTAAATAGCGCTGATGCTGATCTCAAAGTAGTGAGCTGCGAGGGAGTGAGGAGACAATATCCGCCATTTGAAGCTCATAGGGTAAGGAGTGAGTCTGAAAACGCAGTACTTAGCATATTCATATGTACGTCACGATGTACATATATATGTATGGATATATACATATATACAAGTATATGACTAAAGTCCCCAGTAGCCTCGACCCATGGCGGCCGACCAATCACGAGTAAGTAATTTTTAATAAATGTTATTGTAATCAACATAGTAATCATCTTATGTAAAATTGAAATAATTCATCAATTCGTTTTAAAAAAATTTAACTATTCATTTTCTAGTAAATTCACAAGTTCAGCTAAAGACATTTGTTCTGTATCAGTTATATAAGTATTAAAACAAACACATTTCAAACAATTTACTTCTACACTTTCGAGTACATTTTGAAATTCGCATCTGTGAATATATGAACTGTTAACTGCATAGCTATTTTTTAATAAATTTTTCTTGATCTTAATTGTTTTCATAATTGCAAAATAAGTACCTACACATACGCACTTTACTGTACAGTGACATTCTGTAACTTTAATAAAATATTCAATCATTCCGAACCTATAAACATTATTATTGATATATATTTTATACATATTTAGAGGTAGTTACAGTCTATCTAGAATAAGAATCTAATGTGTATAAAATGTTTTTTTCAAGTAATCAAAAAAATTTTTAAATATTTTTATTTTCAATAAGTTCTATATTTTTATTTTCAATAAGTTCTGCAGGTAATATTGTATCCTCAAAACCACTAACTGTAGCTTTCTTCATGGTTCCAACAAGACTTAACAAATTTTCAATCTCAGTGCATCAAAGTTGTTTAATTGAACAATTGAATTTCGAAATAAAGTTGTAAGCTCTACTTCCTTCTTCAATACAATTTTTTAAATTAAATACATTCTTTAAGATGTTTAAGCTCGAACAAATTTGTAAATGAGCCGAATTACTGCTATGTACTAAATCTTTTAATCTTCCGTTTATATCTTCGTAAGAAAAACAAGGTATAGTCCACAATGGCCCTAAATCTTCGACTACTTCAGGTAGATGGAGCAACTGATGAATATTTGATAACATATTTGTTTTACTATACAAAGTTTTAAAATTTGATACATATTGATGTAAAATTTTTTTCGTTGCACCAATCTCATCTTGAGAAATCGAAGATTTAGAAATTAAAATTGTTACTAAAATTAATAATTTGAAGTGATCTAAATATTTTTGATCCATCACATCTTCTAAAAGTGGGACAGAGTAATGGAAAGAAAAAACCTTTTAACTGCAAAGTCTTCCAATTAATTTGATTATTATTAATAGATTAAGGCCTTCTCTGGACGAATGACGGTGGTATCAAAGTACCCAAGCGTTTATCAACAAATTTAACGAAATTTCTTAGTGAAAATGGCTCATTTGCAAATTTTGTATTAAACCACAAGTTTAACAATTGATTGGTCACTCCACTAAATATACAGTGCATAGAATCAACAGCAGTAGATCTAATCGGCTTGTAAACAAAAAGTGATAGAGCTGACGGCCCTTTTACACCGAAAACTGCTTTCCGCGTCTCGCCGTTAAGAGCTTTATCAGCATATAATTTTGTTTCTTCATCTGTTCTTAGCTTTAGTTCTTTTTTAAAGCCATAAACCCAGTGATTATCAAATCTTTCGCCACGTAATTTGCATCGTTGACACCCAAATGCTCCGTTATACTAAGTCATGTTTAAAAACATCGCTTAAGCTGGTGATTCGCGAGTAATAGCTGTTAATAATCCGCGTATCGTACCTACATTTTTTATTTGTATACCATTATGAAGTAGCTGTAAATCATTTTTCAAAGGCGAAAGAAACAGATTTGGAATTGGCTTTTTATCACCAAACCACATTCCAGCTAAAATTAAATATTCGGATTTACATCTGTCAACGAATGGGAGATTATTAAAAGTTTAATATATAGGCCAAAAACTGTACTTTAAAGATTTATAAACCGAAACACCATCAGAATACCACGTTAAAGAAAGATTTTTTCTATTGGCTTAAATTTGATTTGGCTGTGAAAGTTCCTGATATATTTTCCCATCAAATATGTCTTCTATGTTAACCTGATTGCATTTTTGACGACTGTTACTATAATCGATTTTTTTTTGAAATCTTCACGCGAACAAAGTTTTTTTAATTGATCTATAATCGGTATATAAATGAAATAATTATTTTTTAGTACTTATGTCAGCCAATACTCTTAAGCAATGTTTACAGTAATAATTTCGTACTACCGGCGTATCTTGACTTGTGAAATATTTTTTAAACTTATACAACGTCGTTATGCAGTTATTTGGTTAAGGGCAGTGAGCTTCTATGCACTGTTAAATATCCCCCGAACAATTTTTACTTATTTTGTGTCGTACCATAATCGCAAATACAGAGATAAGGCTTTCTTGTACTGTTATCGGAGCTCCGTTGTAGAGAAGTCTATTGTTATGGTCGTCTTCATCCCTTCCAATAGAAGTCGTTTTAAATTCGTCGAATGTTGAAAATCTAAATGAATCTTCACTTCTATTACTTTTGCGTTCAAAGTAATCGGAGTCGAAACCTAGTAAAATTGGGTTTCTCGATTTTAGTTCAATGTATAGGTTATGGTTAACCGTTTGTGTAAGAAAACATTTAGCCAAGCAATATTTTACCTATATGCATGTTTTTACATACTCCCTTCACTTATGCTTGTATTGTCATTCATATTACTGTTGTCATCACAGATTTGTTCATCATTGTTGTCATCAAATTCATGTTCTTCTTCTGAACTTTTGTTGCCACTCGAAGTATATGGCTCCATCGAAAAATCGGTTATCCTGTCACTTTGATTATCTGACAAGATTTCGAGGCTACTTTCCTGATAATAAATTATTTTTTGTGTATTATAGTTGCTTCTTCTCGACAGCTGCTTTGCAGTAAATAAGAGGTTACATTGACGAAAAAATTTATTGAAAAAAACAGTATGTTTTCGTTAGTATATTTCGTAAAAACCAAAGACGTTGTGATTGTAAATAAAGATAGTTTATCTGCAGAAAAAGCAGAAAACGACTATGTGTTTGTATCTTATGGAAAATCAAAATACGAGGCCAAAATTTTGAAAAAAAGTGGTATGTAAATATTAGTTTAATTTAAAAAAACTTTTGATATAAATTATTATTGAGTAATTGCATTGTGAGTTTCGCGCTTAATTATTATTACCTTGTTATATTTTTTTAAACAGACGATAAAAAAATGTTGCGCTCGATTCCGTGGATAAGAATGGTAAAATAATTTCACATGTAGAAAAAGATAAAGTTAACATAGTTAAACAAAACTGTCGTAATGCCAAAAACACCAAAAAGAAAGCAATTAATCAATCAAATTTAGAAATATACAACAAGAAAAGTATTTTTGACGTGAGTGAAGAAGATAACAGAGATACAGATGAGAAAATAGAAGAAAAAGAGAAGGAATCACCCAGATCGTTGATGCCCATAGTACATAATCATCCAAAAACTTCAATTTTAAGTAATGGAGGGAAAAAAACAAAAAAACGATGCCAAGTTCAAAAATGATTGAAAAAAGTACAATTGCTTTTACCAATTCACAGCGTTTTTTGAAGTTAGCATCTGAATCAGCTATGCCTTATACTAGTTTGCAAACGTTACCTCGTGAGTTTGAAAGAAATTTAAAAAAATCGATGATTTTTACGAGGAAACAAAAATTAAGCGCGTTGGT